TCCTTCCATCCCCATCCCTCACCCCAGCCTGGTTATTCCAGCCCTTTCCATTATTCCCTCCATCCCAGGAGACCACCCCAGCCTGGTTATTCCCTCCATCCCCACTCCCAAGGAGCCACCCCAGCCTGGTTATTCCAGCCCTTTCCATTATTCCCCCCATCCCAGGGAACCACCCCAGCCCGGTTATTCCCCCCTCCATCCCCCGACGCTCCCTCCCTCCCTCCCAGGTTGTACCAGATTCCCTTCGGGATGCCGAACTGCCAGGACGAGTCCGAGGCCCGCACCCTGTACCTGGTGGGCGACTTCTCGGCCCCCGCCGAGTTCTTCGTGACCCTGGGGATCTTCTGCTTCCTGTACTCCATGGCAGCCCTGGGGATCTACCTCCGCTTCCATTCCCTCTACTCCCAGAACACCAAGCTCCCCTTCGGGGTAAGATGGGAACGACCCCCCGGCACCCCCCGATCCAGCGGGGGGGTCCCGGGCCGTGGGGGAGGGGGGGGTGCGTGGGAATATTCGTGTTGAAGGAGGGATGAGTTTTCCGGGGAAAAGCGTCAACCCCGGCAGTTCCCGCAGGGACGAGCTCGTGTCTCCCACCCAGGGAGCGGTGCCAGGGTGGCCGTGCCACCCCTGGGGAGGTTCGATGGGCTCTGCTTGTTCCATCCATCCCTATTCCCAGGGGACCACCCCAGCCTGGCTATTCCAGCCATTTCCATTACTCCTTCCATTCCAGGGGATCACCCCACCCTGGCTATTCCCTCCATCCCCATCATCCCTCACCCCAGCCTGGTTATTCCAGCAATTTCTATCATTCACTCCATTCCCAAGGAGCCACCTCAGCCTGATTATTTCCATTATTCCCTCCGTCCCAGGGGATCACCCCAGCCCAGTTATTCCATCCATCTCCATTCCCAAGGAACCACCCCAGCCTGGTTATTCCAACAATTTCCATTATTCCCTCCATTCCCAAGGAGACCATCCCAGCCTGGTTATTCCATCCGTCCTCCCCATTCCCAAGGACCTACCCCAGCCTGGTTATTCCCTCCATCCCAGGGGACCGGAATCATTGATAATCCCAGAACAGAATCATGGGATCATCAGCGTTGGGAGAGACCTTTAAGCTCATTGGGTCCAACCCCCGCCCCAGCAGTGCCGGCACCCCATGAGCCCCCAGACCCCGTCCCCTGGACCCCTTCCCACCCCCCACCCCCTGGGCAGCCCCTCCCGGTGCCTGACCCCCCTTCCATGTCCAGGGAAGGGCAACGAGGCTGGGGAAGGGTCTGGAGCACAATTCCCATGAGGAGAGGCTGAGGGAGCTGGGGGGGCTCAGCCTGGAGAAGAGGAGGCTCAGGGGAGACCTTCTCACTCTCTGCAACTCCCTGACAGGAGGGGGGAGCCGGGGGGAATTCGGGCTCTGCTCCCAGGAAGCAGCAGTAGGACAAGAGGGCCTTGAGCTGTGCCAGGGGAGGTTTAGGTTGGATATTGGGAAGAGGTTCTTTCCCGAGAGAGTGCTCAGCCATTGGAATGGGCTGCCCAGGGAGAGGGTGGATTCTCCATCCCTGGAGAGGTCTTTCCCAACCTGGTTGATTCTGTGACTCTCTGATTCCATGACCTCCGAGATCATCCAGTCCAACCCTTGATCCAACCCCGCCGTGGTTCCCAGCCCATGGCACTGATGCCACATCCAGTCTGTGCTTCAACACCTCCAGGGATGGAGAATCCACCCCCTCCCTGGGCAGCCCATTCCAATGGCTGAGCACTCTCGGGAAAGAGCCTCTTCCCAATATCCAACCTAAACCTCCCCCGGCACAGCTCAAGTTTTGGCTTTCCCAGCCCAGCTGAGTCTCTCGTTCTCTGATTCCATGACTCCGTGACTGTGATTCCCCGCTCCCGCTCCCGCAGGATTTCTGTGTCACCGTGTGCTTCGCCTTCTTCTGGCTGGTGGCAGCGGCAGCCTGGGGGAAGGGGCTGAGCGACGTGAAGGCGGCCACGCGCCCCGGGGCCCTGCTGGGCGCCATGGCCGTGTGCCAGGACGAGGGCGTGCGCTGCAGCCCCGGCACCACGCCCGCCATGGGGCTGGCCAACATCTCCGTGGTGAGTGAGGATGGGGTCTGTGGGGTTTATGGCCAACATCTCCATGGTGAGTGAGGATGGGTTCGTGGGGTTTGTTCTGGCCAACATCTCCGTGGTGAGTGAGGATGGGGTCTGTGGGGTTTATGGCCAACATCTCCGTGGTGAGTGAGGATGGGGTCTGTGGGGTTTATGGCCAACATCTTCGTGGTGAGTGAGAGCGGGATTATGGCCAACATCTCCATGGTGAGTATGGGGTTTCTGGGGTTTCTGGGGTTTCTGGCTGACATCTCCATGGTGAGTATGGGGGTTATGGGGTTTCTGGCCAATATCTCCACAGTGAGTATGGGGGTTTATGGGATTTATGGGGTTCCTGACCAACATTTCCATGGTGAGTATGGGGTTTATGGGGTTTATGGGGTTTATGGGACTTCTGGCCAACATCTCCAGGGTGAGTATTTATGGGGTTTATGGGGTTTATGGAATTTCTGGCCAACATCTCCAGGGTGAGGCGCGGCCGGCGGCATCGGCGTGGGCATGGGGGGTGGTCACTTGAGGAAGTGGGTTCAGGGGGGTTTGAGTGGAGCTGAGTGACCCCTGGGCCTTGTGGGGCACACAAGGGCACAAGGGTGTGATTGTGCCCTTGGGGATGGGGTTTTGGGACTTTGAGTGGAACTGAGTGCTCCCCAGCCCTTATGGGGTACATGTGGGCATATGTGGGCACATGGGTGTGATTGTGCCCTTGGGGAGGGGGTTTGTGGGGTTTCAGGCAGAGCTGGGCATTGCTGGGTTCCCAAGCTTGGCCAGGAGAGGGCAGTGGGAATGGGGGAACACACATGGGAACAGGGGAACACATGTGGGAACGGGGTGGCAACACACGTGGGAATGGAGAACCATCTGGGAATAGGTGGGAACACAGGTGGGAATGGGGTGGGAACACACGTGGGAATGGAGGAACATCTGGGAATAGGTGGGAACACAGGTGGGAATGGGGTGGGAACCCCCCACGGCCACGGCGTCCACCCCCCTCCCACCAGGCCCCATGGGCTGTGGGACCCACCCTGCACCCCCAGGAAACCTCCCCAGCCATGGGGGACCCCCGGGGTGGGTGTTTGGGGTCCAGGGGGTGTATGGGGTATATGGATGTATGGGATATAGGGGGTGTATGGGATTTGGGGATGTATGGGGTGTGTGGGATTTGGGGATATGTGGAGTCTATAAGGTGTGTGGGATTTGAGGACGTATGGGGTGTGTGGGATTTCGGGATGTATGGGGTGTGTGGGGTGTATAGGATATTTGGGATGTAGGGGATGTATGGGGTGTGTGGGGTGTATAGGATATGTGGGATGTAGGAGATGTATGGGGTGTGTGGGGTGTATAGGATATGTGGGATGTAGGGGATGTATGGGGTGTGGGGGGTCCATGGGGTGCCCAGGGCACACGGGACACACACGGTGCTCGAAGCTCAGGGGGTGTGTGGGGTGCCGGGTGCTGTTCTCACCCGTGGGTGCCCCATGCGACCCTCTTCCTTCCCCCTCTCCCTTCTCCCCTCCCCGTCCCCTCTCTCTGTCCTCTATCCCTGTCCCCTCTCCCTCTCCCCATCCCCTCTCCCCATCCCCGTTCCCTCTCCCCTCTCCCCTCTCCCTCTCCCCTCTCCCCGTCCCCCGTTCCCGCAGCTTTTCGGGTTCCTGAATTTCCTGCTCTGGGCCGGGAATTGCTGGTTCGTGCTGCGGGAGACGCCGTGGCTGCGGCCCCCCCCGGTGCGGGACAGCGATGCCGAGCAGGGCGCCATCGACAAGCAGTGACCCCCCCTGGGACCCCCCCGGGACCCCCCCGGCCCCGGGTCCTCGCGCCGGCCGCCAGCCTGGGGAGGGGGCGTCGCTGGGTTGGAGCCGTGGGGGGGGGTCGGATGCTCCAGGAGGGGGGGCCGGGCAATGCCGGGGGTCCCGCTCGGGGTCGGGGGGTCTGTGTGTCACCCGGGGGGGGTCCGCGGCTGTGCGGGGGCGCATAAAGTTCTGGGTACCAGCTCTGGGTTGGGGGTCCTGCTGTCTGCCTCGGTGTGGGGGTGCGGCCCCCTTGGGTGGGCTACAGACCCCCTCGGTGGGCTACACACAGCCCTGGGTGGGTACAAACCCCCCTGGGTGGGCTACAGACCCCTCTAATGGGGTGCACACCCCCCTAATGGGGTACAGAACCCCCTAATGGGGTACACACACCCTTGGGTGGGCTACACATTCCCCGAGGTGGGGTAAACACACCTGGGGGGGGGTACAGACCTCCCTAATGAGGGACACATCACCCCGGTGGGCCACACACAGCCCTGGTGGGCCACAGCCCCCCCAGTGGGGTACACACTCCTTGGGTGGGCTACACACAGCCCGGGGGGGGGTACACACACCTGGGGGGGTACACACACCTGGGGGGGTACACATCCCCCTAATGGGGTACACACCCCCGGGTGGGGTACAGACCTCCCCCAATGGGGTACACACCCCTAATGGGGGACACCCCCCCGGATAAGGTACAGACACCCCCACTGGGGTACACCCCCCCGGTGGGGTGCACACCCCCCTGGGTGCTGGGTCAGAGGGGTGTTGGGTCATTGGGGTGCTGGGGGGGTCATTGGGGTGCTGGGGGGCAGTGGGATGGGGGTGAACACGGGGCTGGCCTGGGGGGCTGCCCTGAGCCCCCCTCCCAGCACAGCCCCAGGGGTCAGCGGGGCCCTGGGGGCACTGGGGAGTGACCGGGGTGACCCCCCACCGTCCTGTCCCCCCCCTTGCTCCCCTCCCATCCCCCCCGACGGCAGCAGAGCCCCCCCCGACTCTCTTCCCCCGGAGGGTCCCCCGGCACTGTCACTGTGTCCTTGTCCCCGCCCCCCGCCAAAGGGACCCCCCCTTGGAGCCCCCCCAAACCCGGCCGAGGGCAGCACAGACACGGGGGGGGGAACAGGTTTATTTTGGCCAAGGCATCAGCGCGGGGGGGGGTACGGCCGGGGGGGCGAGGGGGGCACACAGGGCACCCTTTGGAGGGCTGGGACCCCCGGGGTCCCCCCCTGCGTGCGGGGGGTGCTCTCCTCGCGGGGGGGGCTGCAGGGGGGCTCAGGAGGGTGTTGGGGGGGTTCGGGGGGGGGCACACCCCTGGTGCCCCCTTCCCAGGGGGGCTCGTGCTCCCCGGGGGGGTCATGCTGGGGGCTCACATGCCGCGGGTGGGGGGCAGTGAAGACTGGGGGGGCTGGGGCTGCGGGGGGGCACTGCCCTTGCACAGGGAGGCTGCTGCTCCTGGGGGGTGCTGGGGGGGTCACGGTGCTGTCACTGTCACCAGTGGGGCCCCCCCTGCTCTGCGGTACCCACACTGTCCCCACAGTGCCCTGGGGGGGTCCTGGGGAGGCGATGGGGTGACCCCCAAGCTGGGGACACAGTGTGGGGGGGTCTGGCCACACCTCCGTTCTGGGGACTGTCACAGCAGTGGGGGGGACAGGGGGTGTCCCTGGGGGGTCCTTCTGGTGTCCCCCACACCCTTGTCCCTCGCGGTCCCACAGTGAGTGGGGGCGGTCCTGGGGGGCGATGGGGTGACCCCCCCAAGCTGGGGACACAGTGCTGGGGGTCCGGTCACCCCTCTGCCAGGGACAGGTCCCAGCAGCAGTGAGGACACACGGGGTGCCTGGGACTGTCCCCACCGTGTCCCCTCACATCCTTGTCCCTCACGGTCCCACGGTGACCTCGGGGGGTTTCCCGGGGTGATCTCGGTCCTGGGGGGCGATGCCATGACCCCCAAAGCTGGGGAAACGGTGCTGGGGGTCCGGCCACCCCTCCTGCCTGGGGACTGTCACGGCAGCAGTGGGGACATGGGGTGTTCCTGGGACTGTCCCCATGGTGTCCTGCCGGTGTCCTCGCACAGCCTCGTCCCTCGCAGTGCCCTCGGCAGGTCCTGGGGGGCAGTGGGGTCACCCCCAAGCTGAGGACACGGTGGTGCGGATCCGGCCCCCCCTCCTGCCTGGGGACCGCCCCATTCACGCGCTCGTCCCTCGTGGTCCCGCAGTGACAGTGACCTCGGCAGAGGGGGGGCGGCGGCAACGCTCAGTCCTGGGGGGCAACGGGGTGACCCCCAAGCCGGGGATGCGGCAGTGGGGTTCGGCCACCCCTCCTTCCCGGGGACAGCTCACGGGACATCCCGGGGCCCGTCCCCGGCGCCGCTCACACCACGATGGGGGTGTCGGAGAACACCGAACTCACCGAGTCGGGGTCAGACACCTTCCTCTGCCCCTTGGGGCCCCGGGGGGCGGCCGGCGGGGGGGTCCCCCCCCCTCCCTTGAACCTGCCGTTCTGCCCGGGGCCGCCCCCCGGGGCAGGCCGGGGCTCGCCGTGCCCCCCGTCGTGGTTGGGGGTGGTGCTGAGCACCGAGGAGTTGATGCTGTCGTCGCGCGGCGCCGGCGCCTTCTCGGCGGCGCGGCAGCAGCAGCAGCGGCAGGGGGTCAGGTACAGGTAGATGAGCACCAGCACCACGCTCAGGATGCAGCCCACCAGCGTGGTGTAGGCCGTGTTCAGGGTGTCGTGGGGGCCGTGCAGGGTGAAGTTGTGCACCAGCAGCTCCACGTAGAGGGTCTCGTTGAGCAGCGGCCCCGCCACCCAGCACGCGTAGGTGCCCGCGTCCTCGGCCCGCAGCGCCCGCAGCTCCAGGCTGCCGTTGGCCAGCAGGGCCGCCGTGCCGTTGCCGCCGCCGTCCCCCGGCATCACCCTGTCCCCCGCCGGCGTCACCCAGTGGCGGCTGCCGTCCTGCCAGCGGCTGTCGCAGCCCAGGGTGACGCTGTCGCCGAGGTGAGCCTCCAGCACGGCCTCGCGCGCCTCGCTGCAGTTGAGGGGCTGCCGCCCCGCCAGCTCCAGGATGGCCACGGAGGCGTGCGGGGAGCCGGGCAGGTGGCACGTCAGCTCCTCCTGGAAGTCCAGCACGGCGCTGAGGCGGCGGCGGCGGCCGCGGGCGAGCAGCTGGAACAGGGCGCAGTCGCAGCCCAGCGGGTTGTCGTGCAGGTAGAGGCGGTCGCGCAGCCAGGCGGGCAGCGCCTGCAGCTCCCCGGCGGGCACGGCGCGCAGCCGGTTGGCCGACAGGTCGAGCAGCGCCAGGCGCGGCAGCCGCGAGCCCTCGCGCAGCAGCTCCAGCGGGAAGCGGGCGATGCGGTTGCGGCCCAGGTAGAGCTTGCGCAGCCGGCCCAGGTTCTCGAAGGCCGTGCGGTCCACGCTGGAGATCTCGTTGTTGTAGAGCAGCAGCACCTCCAGCTCGCCCAGGTCGCTGAACAGGTTCTCGTCGAGCGCGCGCAGGCGGTTGTTGGACAGGTCGAGGTGGCGCAGGCGGGGCACGGCCGCGAAGGCCTCGGTGGACACGAAGGCCAGCCCGTTGTGGCTCAGCAGCAGCGTGTGCAGGTGCGGGAGCCGCGCCGGGCTCCAGTCCCCGCGCAGCCGCGACACGTTGTTGTGGCTCAGGTCCAGCACGGAGGCGAAGCGCGGCAGCGGCGACGGCACCAGGCTCAGGTTGGCCTGCGAGCAGCTCAGCAGGTTGGAGGCGCAGATGCAGTGAGCGGGGCAGGACCCGCCCGCCGAGCCCCCCGGGCACAGCAGGGCCAGGGCCAGCAGCAGGGACAGTGGGGACGGCGGGGACGGCGGGGACGGGGCACCCCCGGGCGTGCCCATGGCTGTGTGAGGGCACGGGGCAGCCGGGAGGACACCCGGGGTGGGGGACGGGGCGGGTTCAGTCCCGTCCCAGGTGGGGTTGGTTGGTCACCCCGTGTCCCCAGGAGGGGTGGGTCAGTCACCCAGAGTCACAGTCCGGGGTGGGTTGGTCACCCCGTGTCCCCGGGTGGGGTGAGTTGGTCACCCGGTGTCACGGTCCAGGGTGGCTCGGTCACACGGTGTCACAGCACGTGCTGGGGCCGGGGCTCACCCAGTGTCACCAGCCAGGGGGGGTCACCTGGTGCTGCAGAGTGGGGTGGTTGGGTCACCCAGAGTCACGGTCCAGGGTGGCTTCAGTCACCCAGTGTCACAGCAGGCTTGGGGCTCAGCCAGTGTCACCATCCAGGGTGGCTTCAGTCACCTGCTGTCACAGCCCGGGGTGACTGTCACTGACCAGTCACTGGTCCCCCAGTGGTGCAGGGTGTGGTGGCTGTCACCAGTGTCACACTCTGTGCTCCGGGGTGGCTTCAGTCACCCGCTGTCACAGCCCAGCCGGGCTCAGGGCTCACGTGGTGTCACCGCGCTGGGTGGCTCTGCCCCTTGGTGTCACAGTCTGGGGTGGCTCTGTCACTCAGTGTCACGGTGCTGGGTGGCTGTGGTTCCTCAGTGTCACTGAGGGGGTGGCTTTGTCCCCTGGTGTCACGGCATGGAGAGGCTGAGGTCCCCTGGTGTCACACTGTGGGGTGGCTGTGGTCCCTCGGTGTCACGACATGCGGTGTCTCTGTCCCCGGTGTCACACCGTGCAGTGTCTCTGTCCCCGGTGTCACACCGTGCAGTGTCTCTGTCCCCTCGGTGTCACACCGTGCAGTGTCTCTGTCCCCCGGTGTCACACCGTGCAGTGTCTCTGTCCGTCGGTGTCACACCGTGCAGTGTCTCTGTCCCCCCGGTGTCACACCGTGCAGTGTCTCTGTCCCCCCGGTGTCACACCGTGCAGTGTCTCTGTCCCCTCGGTGTCACACCGTGCAGTGTCTCTGTCCCCTCGGTGTCACACCGTGCAGTGTCTCTGTCCCCCGGTGTCACACCGTGCAGTGTCTCTGTCCGTCGGTGTCACACCGTGCAGTGTCTCTGTCCCCCCGGTGTCACACCGTGCAGTGTCTCTGTCCCCCCGGTGTCACACCGTGCAGTGTCTCTGTCTGTCGGTGTCACACCGTGCAGTGTCTCTGTCCCTCGGTGTCACACCGTGCAGTGTCTCTGTCCCCGGTGTCACGACATGCAGTGTCTCTGTCCCCCGGTGTCACACCGTGCAGTGTCTCTGTCCCTTGGTGTCACACCGTGCAGTGTCTCTGTCCCTCGGTGTCACACCGTGCAGTGTCTCTGTCCCCGGTGGTCCCTCAGTGTCACAGTGGGGGGGAGGGGTCGGTCCCCTGGTGTCACAGGTGCCGCGGGGTCACTTCCCACGCGGGTCACAGTGCGGGGTGGCCCTGTCCCCGCTGTCACGACATGTCCCCGCTGTCACGACATGTCCCCGCTGTCACGGCCCGCCCGGTTCCCCCGCCTCGTCCCTCCCCGGTTCCCCTCCCCCAGTCCCGGGGCCGGCGGAGGATGCTCAGCCCCCCCCACCCCCCACCCCCCGGGCGTTACCACCGGGGCCGGGCCGGGCCTAGAGCGGGGCCGGGCCGGGCTGGTCCGAGCCGGGCCGGTCCGAGCCGAGCGGGGCCGGGCGGGGCCCAAGGAGGCCGAACCGAACCGAGCCGAGCGAACCCGAGCGGAGCCGAACCGAGCCGAGCGGGGCCGAACCGAGCCGAGCGGGGCCGAACCGATCCGGGCGGAGCCGAGCGGGCCGGGCCGAACCGGGCCGAGAGCGGCCGAACCGCCCCGATCCTTCCCGAACCTTCCCGAGCGCAGCCGAACCGACCCGAACGGGCCCGGCCCGGCCCGAGCGGTTCCGACGGTCCCCGAGCGGTTCCGATGGTCCCCGAGCGGTTCCGAGCGGTTCCGATTCTCTCCGATCTTTCCCGACCGTCCCCGAGCGGCGCTGCCCGGACGGCTCTGGGGGCGGGGCCGGCGCGCACGGCGCGTCCCCATTGGCTGCCCCGCGCCGCGCTCGGCCAATGGTGGCAGCGCTCGGGGTTAACCCGCGGAGAGCCGGGACCACCCGGGACCACCCGGGACCACCCGGGATCACCGGGACCACCCGGGACCCACCGGGACCACCCGGGACCACCTGGGATCACCGGGACCACCCGGGACCACCGGGACCACCCGGGACCACCGGGACCCACCGGGACCACCCGGGATCACCGGGACCCACCGGGACCACCCGGGACCACCCGGGATCACCGGGACCACCCGGGACCACCCGGGATCACCAGGACCACTCGGGATCACTGGGACCCACCGGGACCACCCGGGACCACCCAGGACCCACCGGGATCATCGGGACCCACCGGGACCACCCGGGATCACCGGGACCCATCAGACCCGGGTCTGGCCCCCTCTCCATCCCCAACCCCGTCTCCATCCTCATCCTTGTCCCTGTCCCATTCCATCCTGACCCCTCTCTCCATCCCCATCCTTATCGACATCTGTCCCCGTCCCCATCTCCATCATCCCAATCCCATCCCTGTCCCTGTCCTCATCCTCGTCCCCAACGCTATCCCACATCCCCATCCCCATCATCCCCATCCCATCCCTGTCCTCATCCTCATCCCCAACGCTATCCCACATCCCCATCCCCATCATCCCCATCCCATCCCTGTCCTCATCCTCATCCCCATCCCATCCATCTCATCCTTGCCCTCATCCCTGTCCCCATCCCTCTCCCAGTCCTCATCTCCATCCCTGTCACCCATCACAATTCTCGTTCTTATCCCTGTCCCCATTCCCATCATTCCCATCCTCATCCTAATCCCCATCCCCCTCTTGATCCCCATTCCCCCCCATCCCCTCCAATCCCATCCCTGCCCTGTTCCCCATCCCCATTCCCTCCCATCCTCATTCTCATCCCTGTCCTCTGTTCCCATCCCCATCCCATCTTGTCCCCATTCCATCCAATCCCATCCTGGTTCTTATGCCCATCCCTGTTCCCATTCTCATCCCCATCCCTGTCTCCATCCCCAGTCCTCCATCCCATCCCGTTGCATCCTGGCCTTCATCCCCATCCCATCCCATCCCATCCCATCCCATCCCATCCCATCCTATCCCATCCCATTCCTTCCCATCCCAGCCCCAGCCCCACAGCCCCCATTCCACCCCAAATCCCCCCTCCTGACCCCATCCCGACCCCCCTGGGATGGAGGCCCCCCCCGGTTCCCCCCTCGGGTGCCCCCCCCGCCCTCCCGGTGCCCCTCCCCCCCCCGCTCTGCCTCCCGGGAGTATTTTTAGCTCCAAACATTTGTGCCGGATTTTGGGTCCAAAATTAGAGGGAAAAGAGCCGGAACAAACCGTGCTGGGATGAGGCAGCTTTTTATGGGAAAGGGGGGGTGGGAATTCCAGGGGACCCCCGGGACACGGGACAGGGGGTCCCCCCTCGCCTGTTCCCCGCACCCCAAACCCCCCGGGCCGGGGGTCCCGCGGAACCACCCGGGGAATTCTGTCCTTGGATCGTCCCCATGTTCCCGCTTTAATCCGGGATTAATCCCTGCCCGACCCCCCCGGCTCTGGGCGCGGGGGCACCTTGGGGGGCGCGGGGGGGGCCGGGCTGGAGTGGGCACACGCGTGTGGCAGCAGCACCCGCACACGTGTGTGCTCCTCGGGACACGTGTGTGCCCCCAAACACGGGTGTGTGCCCCCCTACACACCCCCAACATGGGTGTGTGCCCCCAACACGGGTGTGTGCCCCCCAACATGTGTGTGTGCCCCCAACACGGGTGTGTGCCCCCCAACATGTGTGTGTGCCCCCAAACACGGGTGTGTGCCCCTCTACACGGGTGTGTGCCACCCAACACAGGTGTGTGCCCCCCAACATGTGTGTGTGTGCCCCCCCAACACGGGTGTGTGCCCCCCAACATGGGTGTGTGTGCCCCCCCAAACATGGGTGTGTGCCCCCCTACACGGGTGTGTGCCCCCCCAACATGTGTGTGTGCCCCCCCCAACATGTGTGTGTGCCCCCCAACATGTGTGTGTGCCCCCCAACATGGGTGTGTGCCCCCCCAACATGGGTGTGTGTGCCCCCAAACACGGGGGTGTGTGCCCCCAAACATGGGTGTGTGCCCCCCTACACGGGTGTGTGCTCCCCCAACACAGGTGTGCCCCCAAACATGTGTGCACACCCCGGGACACGTGTGTGCCCCTAAACATGTGTGCCCCCAAACATGTGTGTGCCCCCAAACACGTGTGTGTGCACCACGGGACACGTGTGCCCCCTACATGGGTGTGCACACCCCATGACATGTATGTGCCCACACGTGTGCCCCCAAACACGTGCGTGCACACCTCAGGACATGCATGTGCCCCCTTACATGGGTATGCCCCCCCCATGTGTGTGCCCCCAAACGGGTGTGTGCCCCCACATAGGGGTATCCCGGGGCACTGGGTGCTGGGATAGGGGTATCCCGGGGTACAGGGTGCTGGGATAGGGGTATCCCGGGGCACTGGGTGCTGGGATAGGGGTATCCCGGGGTACAGGGTGCTGGGATAGGGGTATCCCGGGGTACAGGGTACAGGGTGCTGGGATAGGGGTATCCCGGGGTACAGGGTGCTGGGATAGGGGTATCCCGGGGTACAGGGTGCTGGGATAGGGGTATCCCGGGGTACAGGGTACAGGGTGCTGGGATAGGGGTATCCCGGGGTACAGGGTGCTGGGATAGGGGTATCCCGGGGCACTGGGTACAGGGTGCTGGGATAGGGGTATCTCGGGGTACAGGGTACAGGGTGCTGGGATAGGGGTATCCCGGGGCACTGGGTGCTGGGTGTCAGGGTGCTGCAGTCCTGGAGTATCGGGGTGCTGGGGTTCCGGGCTGCCAAGATAATGGGCACTGGGGTACCTGGACTCTGGGTACTGGGGCACTGAGTGCCAGGGTGCTGAGCTACTGAGGTACTGGGGTGCTGGGGTGCTGAGGTATTGGGGTGCCAAGGCACTGGGCCCTGGGGTGCCAGCAGTGCCAGGGTGGGGGGCACTGGGTGCCGGGGTGCTGAGGTATTGAGGTGCTGGGGCACTGGGGTACCCCGATATTGGGGTGCCGACAGTTTCAGGGTGGTGGGGTGCTGAGGTACTGGGGTGCCAGGGTGTGCCACCCTTGGGGGCAGGGTGCTGGGGTGCCAGGACACTGAGGTATTGGGGTGCTGGGACAGAGGGGTGCCAAGATGACGGGTGCTGGGGTGTTGATGCCTTGAGACTGGGGGGCAATGAGGTGCCAGGACATTGAGGTGCCAGGGTGCTGGGACACTGGGGTGCCCAGATTTTGGGTACTGGGGTGTTGGGACACTGGGGTGCCCAGATTTTGGGTACTGGGGTGTTGGGATAGAGGGGTGCCCAGATTTTGGGTGCTGAGGTGTTGGGATAGAGGGGTGCCCAGATTTTGGGTGCTGGGGTGTTGGGATAGAGGGGTGCCCAGATTTTGGGTGCTGGGACAGTGGGGTGCTTGGGGGCTGGGATCCCGGGGTGCCAGGGTGCTGAGGTCCTGGGGTGCCCAGATGACGGGCACTGGCGGGGGGGCAGATTTTGGGGTTCCGTCGGTGCCAAGCTCGGGGGGTACCCTCGGGTTGCCCCCCCCCCAGGGCGGGGTGTCCTCAGGAATTCGCTCCCACACGAATTCCCACCCCGGGAGTGTGTGTGTGGGGGGGGTCTCTCCGTGGATCATCCCGAGCAGGATGGATCCCCTTCGGCCCCCGCGCCCGTCCGTTCCAGCCGCTTATTCCCGCCGTTTCCCGCGGGGGGGGGCCCCTGGAATTTTCCCGGGTTCAGCCGAGGTGCCGCGGGGGTTTTATTTTTGGGGTGGGGTTATTTTTGGGCGCCCCCGTCACGCCGGGGCACGTGACGCGCGCGGGGGTGGACATCGCGTCACCCACACCCCCCTCCCCCCCCCCGGGTCACTTGTCACAATTCCCCCCCCACACCCCAAAAAGGGACACCCCCCCCACGAGGGACCCCCCACCCTTTTTGGGGACACAGAGGCGAGCGCGGCAGCCCCGGGGGGGGGGAGCCCCAATGTGCGCCCCCAGAGCGGGGGGGGCGGACGCCCCCCCCGCTCTGGGGGCGCACATTGGGGTCCCCCCCCCCGGGGCTGCTTGGGGGGCGGCCGTGAACGAGGGGGGGGTTGTAGGGCGGGCGGGCGGGCGGCGCTAGGACCCTGCGGGCGGGCGGAGCGGAGCAGCCCCCGCCGCCGCCGCCGCCGCCGCCGCGGCCCCCGAGCAGCCCCCGCCGCCCCGGGGACCCCCCCTGCACCCCCCCGGCCCCGGGGACACCCCCCCGCCCTCGGGAAGCCAGCCCCCCCCCCCGGGTAAGTGCGGGGAGGGGGTCGAGCGGCCCCGCAGGGGCGATGCCCGGCGAGGGGGAAAAGGGAAGGGGGGGAGTGCGGGGAGGGGGCGATGGGACATCCCCCCCCCAGGGGGTGGGAGGGGGGTGTCCGACCCCCCCCCCCCCCCCCGGGGGTGATGGGGAGGACAGGGGGATGGGGGACCGCGGCTGCGCCCCGCATTCCATCACCGCCCCCCATTCCCTCCCCTCGCGGCCCCCGCCCCGCGGAAACACCCGGGAAAAGGGGGGGGGGGGGGGGGGTCTGGGGTGGCCCCCAAATCCTCCCCGCCGTGGGCCCCCCGTTCCCCGCGCGGAGCTCGGCGTGGGGGGGTCATACAAGGCCCGGGAAGCACCGAGGGGTGAACCCGCTTGTGGAGGGGGACTGGGGACCCCCCCCCCCCATTCTTAGGGTCTCCCCCGTGGGGGGGCCCCGCTGGGGTGGTTTGGGTTGAAACGTCGGAATTTGGGGGGTTTACCCCGGAATTGCTCATTTTTGGGGGGAACGAGGCTTTTGGGTGGGGGAGGGGGCTGGGCGGGGGGGTCGTGTAGAGGGCCCGGGGGTGATGGGGGCTGGGGGGGGTTCACGGTTGAGCTGAGACCCCCCCAGGGCTCTCAGGGGTCCCCCAAAGGTACCCCCCTCTGATGGCTCCCCCTCCCCCCCGGGGCCCGGGGCTGTGGGTGGGGGGTCACAACTGAGCTGAGCCCCCACCATGGTTCTCAGGGGGCGGCTGTGACCCCCCCGCGGGTTTTCAGGGGTCCCCCCAGGGCCTCCATCCCCCCTCCCCAACAGCTCCACCTGGGGGCTGCACTTGGGGGTCTCCCCAGAGCTGTGTGTGTCCCCCCCCCCGACAGCTCCACCTCCCCCCAGCTCAGCTGTGACCCCCCCGGGTTCTCAGGGTGGGCTGAACTCCCCTCGGCACTCGGGGCCCCCCCCCAGGGTCTCCACCAGCCCCCCCTGACAGCCCCAGGTCCTCGGGGGCTGCAGATGGGGGTCCAGCTCAGCTCTTGGGGGTCTCCCCCGGGGTTGTGTCACCCCTCTGTGAGACCCGTCTCTCTCTCACCCCCTCTGAGGGCTCCCCCTCCCCCCAGGTCCCCGGGTCTGTGGGTGGGGGGATCACCCAGGGGGTGATCCCAGGGTCCCCCAGGGTCTCCCCCCCTGCCCCCTGACAGCTCCACCTTCCCCCAGCTCAGCTGTGACCCCCCATAGATCTCAAGGGTCCCCCAAAGCTCCCCTGCCATGCCTGGAGCTGTGGTTGGGGGGTCACAACTGAGCTGAGCCCCCCCCATGGCTCTTAGGGGTCGGCTGTGACCCCCCCGGGCTGTCAGGGGTCCCACCAGGGTTGTGTCCCCTCCCGGACACCTCCACCTCCCCCAGGTACCCGGGGGCTGCAGTTGGGGAGTCTCAGCTCAGCTCTCAGGGGTCCCCCAGGGTCTCCCTCAGTCCCCCCCCCCGACAGCTCCACCTTCCCCCCAGCTCAGCTGTGACCCTCCCATGGCTCTCAGGGGTCCCCCCAGGGTCCCCAAAGGCCCCCGAGGGCTGTAGTTGGGGGGTCTCAGCTCAGCTCTCAGGGGCTCCCCCGGGCTCTCCCCCCTCCTCTGACCGCTCCCCCTCCCCCCAGGTCCCCCCCTCTGCGAGGACTCCCCAGATGAACGTGACCGGGGGGCACCTTTGGGTGCTCTGAGCAGACCCCCCCAGCGATGTGAGCCCCCCGTGCGATGCCCAGCGCAGGATGGAGCCCTCCCTGCCCTCCCCGTGGGGCTGGAACGGCTCCCGAGGAGGGGGGGCCCGGCCCCCCAACAACGGCAGCGCCGAGGGCAAGGCCAAGGACGGCGGGGGGGCGGCGCGGGCCGTGGGGCTGCTCTTCATGGTGCTGCTCGACCTGACGGCGCTGGTGGGCAACGCGGCCGTGGTGGGGGTCATCGCCCGCACCCCCGCGCTGCGCAAGTTCGTCTTCGTGCTCCACCTGTGCCTCGTGGACCTGGTGGCCGCGCTGACGCTGATGCCGCTGGAGATGCTGGTGGGCTCGGCGCTGGGGGGCTCGCCGGGGCTCTGCCGCGTCTACCTGTTCCTGCTGGTGTGCCTGAGCTCCGTGTGCATCCTCTCCATCTCCACGCTCAGCCTGGAGCGCTACTACTCGGTGGTGCACCCGCTGCGCTACGAGGCGCACATGACGCCCACGCTGGTGGCCGGGGTGCTGGCGGCCGTGTGGCTCAAGGCCGTGGCCACCTCGGTGGTGCCGGTGCTGGGCTGGCTGTCCCCCCCCGAGCGTCCCCCCGCGCCGGGCTGCTCGCTGCAGTGGAGCCCCGGCGCGCCCTGCGTGGTGTTCGCGGCGTTCCTCGCCGCCTTCTACTTCGCGCTGCCGCTGCTCGTCATCGTGCTCACCTACTGCGCCATGTTCCGCGTGGCCCGCGTGGCCGCCGCCCAGCGCGGCCCCCTCCCCACCTGGCTGGAGACCCCCCCCCCGGCCCGCCGGCGCTCGGCCTCGCTCAGCAGCCGCTCGCCGATGGTGACCCCCCCGTGCCCGGGGGGAGCCCCCCGCAGCACCCCGCACAGGACGCCGGGCGCGGGGGGGGGCAAGGCGGCCGCGGTGCCGCTGGCCGTGGGGGGCCAGTTCCTGCTCTGCTGGTTGCCCTTCTTCTCCTTCCAGCTCTACGCGGCGCTGGGGGGGGCGCGGGGGGGCGGCGCGGCCGAGACCGTGGTGACCTGGCTGGGGTTCTGCTGCTTCACGTCCAACCCGTTCTTCTACGGCTGCCTCAACCGGCAGATCCGCGCCGAGCTGGGCCGGCTCGTGGCGACCCTCCTCAAGCAGCCCCCCGAGGAGGGGCTGCGCCTGCCCAGCCGCGAGGGCTCCATCCAGGAGAACTTCCTGCAGTTCCTGCAGAGCACGGGCAGACCCCCCGAGCCCCCCCCGGGCACCCCCAGACGGGACCTGCCCCCGCCGGGAACCCCAAAACGGGACCCGGCCCCCACCCCAGACGGCCCCAAACGGGACCTGCCCCCCATCCCGGGCACCCCAAACCGGGACCTGCCCCCCCCGTCCCTGTCACCCCTGTGGGGGGTCGGGGGTCCCAAACGGGACCTGCCCTCCCCGTCCCTGTCACCCCTCTGGGGGGGCGGCGGTCCCTCGGCCGTCCCCAAACGGGACGCGCCCCCCCCTTCCCCCCCCGTGGATTTTCGCATCCCGGGGCAGGTGGGGGAGGACGGGGGGGAAGGGGGGGAGTGGGGAGGGGGCGATGGCGGGTGGGTGAATCCCCCCGGGGGGTCGGGCAGGGCGGGGCTGTAGCGTTTTTGGGGAGTTTGTCGCGGGTAAATGTGGCTGTGAGGGGAGAGGTGGTCCCGGTCACTCGCTGTGGGGGGGGCGGCGCTGACACGAGGGGGGGACACAGAGATCGCGGAGTGGGGGAGGGTCCTCATGGCTGGGGGGGTTGGGGGTCCCATGATGGTCACTGGGGTGGAGGGTCCTCGGTGCTGTGAAGGATTGGGGGTCCCACCGTGCTCCTTGGGAGGTTGTCACGGCTGGGAGGTGTTGGGGGATCCCGCGATGCCCCCTGGGGTGGGGGGGTTGTCTTTGTCACCCTGCAGGGCGTTGGGGGGGGTCCCCTGGCACTCACGGGATGGGGGGTGCGGGGTCCTCACCCCCACTGGGGGGGTTTGGGGGTCCCACAGCGCTCCCTGAGGGGGGGCGGGGTCCTCATCGCTGCCGCCACGGGGGGTCTGGGAGAGGGTCTGAGGGGTCTGGGGGGCTCTGAGGGATCTGGGGGAGGGTCTGGGGGGTTCTGAGGGGTCTGGGGGAGGGTCTGAGGGGTCTGGGGGAGGGTCTGAGGCTGCCATGGGCTCCCCTGCGCCCCGCGGGGCCTACAACTCCCGGCAAGCCTCGGCACCAGGGCGGAAATGCCCCGTTTCCCATCATGCCCCGCGGTACCGACGCGGAAGTGCCTGTCCCTCCCGTCCCCAGGAACTACATTTCCCGTCGTGCCTCGCGCACGACACCGGAAATCCAGAGCCGCCCGCGCCGAGGCAGCTCCCGCCCCTGTCCTTGATCCCAAATCCTGATCCCTGATCCCGATCCCAGAAGTGGAGCCTTCGTTTCCCCCACGGGACCGAGGAGGAAGTGTCTCTCCTTCTCATGCTTGGAACTACGCTTCCCATCATGCCTCGCGCCCGGGACAGGATATCCGTCATGGCCTCCGGAACTGCCCGGGCCGAGGCCGCTCCGGCCCCGCCCCCGATCGCGCTCTTGATCGCGATCCCTTTTCCCGATCCCAATCCTTGATCCCAATCCCCGAAGCAAAGCCCTCGTTTTCCCACGGGACCGAGGCGGGAGTGCCTCTCCCTGCCATCCCGGGAACTCCATTTCCCATCACACCCCGCGGTGCCGCGTCTCGGAACTCCATTTCCCGTCGTGCCCCGCGCCCGGCACAGGAAATCCGGCGCCGCCTGAGGAGCCGCCCGGGCCCTCATCCCAAACCCCGCTCCCCAATCCCCAAATCCCAAATCCCGGCCCCGCTCCCGGCCCGGCGGCCCCGCCGCCGCCATGGGGTGCACGCTGAGCGCCGAGGACAAGGCGGCGGTGGAGCGGAGCAAAATGATCGACAGGAACCTCCGCGAGGACGGCGAGAAAGCGGCCAAGGAGGTGAAACTGCTGCTGCTCGGTGAGCACGGGGGGGGAATGGGGGGATCTGGGGGGGCAGTGGGGGTCTCCAGCCTGAGGAAGGGGTTTGGGGAGGGAGAAACTGGGTCTCGTGGCCTCAGGAGGGGATTTGGGGGAGAATGGGGGGATTTGGGGGGGAGTGGGGGGGTCAGGGAGAGATTTGAGGGGGCATTGGGGGTCTCTGGGGAGGCGCTGGGGGTCTTCTGCTCTTAGGGGGGAGTTTTTGGGGGGCACTGTGGGTCTCAGGGGGTTTTTTTGAGGGGGTCTTCTGCTCTTAGGGGGATCCCAAGGGATCCTGGAAGGGCTCAGAAGGGTCCTGAGGGATCCCTGGGATGTTCCAAGGGATTCTGGGAGTTGAGGAGGATCCCGAGGGCTCCCTGGTCCCCTTTTCCTGAGATTCTCCTCCCAGGGGGGCTCTGAGTTTCCCGGGATGCCTCTCCTTGGCTTTTCCCCCTGGAACATCCTCCCTGTTCCACGAGATGTTCCCGGAGCTCCTGACCCCATTTCTGCCTGGAAATCTCTCCCAGATCTTTTTCTTGGGTTTCAAGACCAGGGTGGGGATTCCTGGGAATGCCAGGGAGTGCTGGAATCTGGTTGGATCCAGTGGGTTCTTCCCACGTTTCCCGCCTGGCTCAACCGTGCTGGGAGCAACTGGAGCAGCACTTTGGGGAGGGATAAATCCACCAGGCACCTCTGGAATTCAGGAATTCCAAGGTTTTCCAGTGGGTGAACTCCTGGCGGCCGTAACCGAAACCTGGGGAGGACCCGCCGGGAGCTCTTCCAGCGGCAATTCCCGAGGAATCTCCTCCTCCAACCCCCCAACCCCACATCCTGCCTTCCTTTGGAATTCCCTGTGTCCAGCGGGATATTCCTTGTGTTTTCCAGGTGCTGGCGAGTCTGGGAAGAGCACCATCGTGAAGCAGATGAAGTGAGTGATTCCCGGGATTCGGGGGGACGGCGGGATGGGCGGGAATGGCGGTGCTGTGGCTGCAGGATCCTCCACGAGGACGGATATTCCGAGGAGGATGGAGGGGATGGGCGGGATGGGAGCGGGAATGATGCTCTGTGGTTCCAGGATCATCCACGAGGACGGATATTCCGAGGAGGAATGCCGGCAGTACCGGGGGGTCGTCTACAGCAACACCATCCAGTCCATCGTGGCCATCGTCCGGGCCATGGGCCGGCTCCGCATTCCCTTCGGGAATCCCGCCAGGGCTGTGAGTGCCCGGGATGCGGGAGCCACCTGGGAATGGGCTCGGGACAAGGGAGCCACTGGGAATGGGGTTGGGAGCCAGGATCCACCTGGGAATGGGTTTGGGAAAAGGGACTCTCTCAGGGCCGTGAGTGTCCTGGGATTCCACTGGGAATGGGGTTGGGAGCCGGGAGCCACCTGGGAATGGGCTCGGGACAAGGAACTAGCCAGGGATCCCTCAGGGCTGAGAGTGTCCAGGATCCTGCTGGGAATGGGTTTGGGAGCCAGGAGCCACCTGGGAATGGGCTCAGGATGAGAGAGGATCCAGGGATCCCTTGGGATGGGGCACTCAGCCCGGGATCTCACTCTGGGAATTGGTTTGGGACAGGAGAGGATCCAGGGATCCCTCAGAGCCGAGAATGCCCCAGGATCCACCTGGGAATGGACTTGGGACAAGGGACTCTCTCAGGGCTGGGAGGGTCCAGGATCCCACTGGGAATAGGCTCGGGGTGAGAGAGGATCCAGGGATTCCTCAGGGCCCTGAGTTCCTGGGATCCCGCTGGGAATGAGCTCGGGACAAGGGACTAGCCAGGGATCCCTCAGGGCCGGGAGTGGCCAGGATCTGGGATCCACCTGGGAATGGGCTCGGGACAAGAGAGGATCCAGGGATCCCTCAGAGCCGGGAGTGTCCAGGGATCCCTCAGGACAGCAGGATTCATCCCAGGATTCTGTTCTGGGAATGGGTTTGGGACAAGAAAAGATCCAGGGATCCCTCAGGGCCGGGAGTGTCCCAGGATCGCTCGGGATGGGGCCCTCGGCCCGGGATTCCCCTCAGCAGCCCCTGGACACTGGGAGCGGGGAGGATTCCCGCTGCTCCCAGGGCTCTCCGGGGCCCTCATTCCCGGTTCATTCCCGGTTCATTCCCGGTTCATTCCCGGTTCATTCCCGGTTCATTCCCGGTTCATTCCCGGTTCATTCCCGGTTTTCCAGGACGACGCCCGGCAGCTGTTTGTGCTGGCGGGCAGTGCCGAGGAGGGGACGCTGACGGCCGAGCTCTCCGCGCTCATCCAGCGCCTCTGGAGCGATCCCGGCGTGCAGGCCTGCTTCGGCAGATCCCGGGAATACCAGCTCAACGACTCCGCCGCATAGTGAGGGAACGGAGCATTCCCGGGACTGGGAAGGGCTGGGACTGGAATCTTTGGAATTTAAGTCTGGAATGGTTTGGAATTTAAGCTTGGAATGGTTTGGAATTTCAGCCCGGAATGGCTTGGGTGGGAAGAGCAATTCCAGATCCATTTCCAGAGATGCCTTCCACTATCCCAGGTTGCTCCAAGTTTATCCAGCTTGTCCTTGGGCACTTCCAGGGATGGGGCATCCCTTGGGAAATCCATTCCTAGATCATGGAATGATCCACAGCAGGCTGGGATTGGGTGGGAGGCACGAGGATCCCAGCCTGGCACAGCTCCACATCCCTCCCCCAGCTCAGCTCCCCTCCAGATCCATCCCAAATCCTGGCATTCCCAAATCCCGGCATTCCCAAATCCCAGCATTCCCCCGGTTGTGCGGGAGGAGGGGCTGGAGCAGCTCCCATGCAGTTGATCCCAGATTCCCAGCATTGAAACTGATCCCAATCCCAGATTCCTGGCACTAAAGCCGATCCCAATCCCAGATTCCTGGCACTGAAACTGATCCAAATCCTGGATTCCCAGCGCTGAAGCTGATCCCAGATTCCCAACACCGAGGTTGATCCCAATCCCATATTCCCAGCATTAAATCCCATCCCAATCCCAGCTTCCTGGCACTAAAGCCGATCCCAATCCCAGATTCCTGGCACTGAAACTGATCCCGATCCCAGATTCCCAGCACTGAGGCCGATCCCATATTCCCAGCACTAATTCCCATCCCGATCCCAGGTTCCCGGCTCTGAACCCATCCCTGTTTTCCCATCCCAGTTACCTGAACGACCTGGAGCGCATCTCCCAGCACAGCTACATCCCCACCCAGCAGGACGTGCTCCGGACCAGGGTGAAAACCACGGGAATCGTGGAGACTCACTTCACCTTCAAGGACCTGTACTTCAAGTGAGTGCCATTCCTTGGATCCCAGAGGGCTGGGAAATGCTGGGAAAATCCCTGATCCTGGTTTAATGTCCTTCCCTGGGCTGGAATCCACGGGAACTGGAGCTGGATTTCCAGGGGGTGACAGTTCCAGCCATTCCCAAAGACAGTCCCGGCCCTACCCTGTGTCCCAGAGGGCTGGGAAATCCCTGGATAGTCCCTGATCCTGGTTTCATGTCCTTCCCTGGGGGGAAAACCACGGGAATTGGAGCTGTACTTCCAGGGAGTGACACTCCCAGCCCATCCCTGTGTTCCGGAGGGCTGGGAAATCCCTGGATGGTCCCTGATCCCGGTTCCACTGTCCTTCCCCGGGAAGGGTTGGATTTGATTTCCCTTCTTCTGTTCTTTCCAGCTGCTTTTCTCTCGGGATCACACCCACACAGGTACCTGACTGCTCCTTTTCCAGGCCCCAATCCCAAAAAATCACACTCAGAGGGCGCTGAGTGTGTCCCCTCCCGTGGTGCTCCGTGTGTTCTCTGGGAATTCCGGCCTGGATGGGACTCTCCTGTCCCCTCTTCCTGACCCAGATCCAGGCTCGGGATCCCTCCTGCTCCTTCCTGTGGCGCTAATTCCTTCTAAACCCTGGAGCTGAGGCTCAATCCCTCTTTCCCACTTTCCTGCTGCTTAGAAATTCCTTGCTTGGGATCCTGGGGGATCCTGTAGGAATTCCCATGGTGTTTGTGGATGTAGGACAGCCCAGTTTTCCCTGTTTGTGCCAACAGTTTGGAGCCTTTCCCACTCACATCCCTAAAAATGTGTCTGGTGGCTTCTGCAGAGCTTGTGTTTGGAAGGGTTGGGTGGAAAATCCCAGGGTTTTCATGGAATTCCAGGCTGGTTTGGGGTGGGAAGGACCTTAAAGCCCATCCAGTGCCGTGGGCAGGGACACCTCCCACTGTCCCAGGTTGCTCCAAGTTTATCCAGCCTGGGCTTGGACACTTCCAGGGATGGGGCATCCTCTGGGAATTCCATCCCAGCCCCCTCCCAGGGAGGAGTTCCCTCCCAGTATCCCATCTCTCCCTGCCCTCTGGCAGTGGGAAGCCATTCCCTGTGTCCTGTCCCTCCATCCCTTGTCCCCAGTCCCTCTCCAGCTCTCCTGGAGCCCCTTTAGGCCCTGGAAGGGGCTCCAAGGTCTCCCTGGAGCCTTCCCTTCTCCAGAGGAACATTCCCAGCTCCAGTCCTTGGATCCCCTGGAGCAGGGACCTTCCATGCAGTTTCCTGGGAGAACAGCAGCGTTTTGCCTTCGGAGTTTCACCCAGAGATGCCCAAATCCTTCCCATCTCCGGGGGGTCTCTGCAGCTCCTGGATTCCATCCAGGGAATCCCGTGGGGATGGATCAGCAGGAGCGTCTCCAGCTGCCGCTCCCGGTGCTTCCAAACCCCGCGGGGCTGGAGGCTCCTCCCGCCCTCCTTCGGAAGGAAGGGAAGAGGCTCCTTCCCAATCCCACCCTGGATCACGTGCAGGGCCCCAGGCATGCCCCAGAGGGAATGTTTTCCATGGGAAACCCTGGAACTCTGCTTGACATTCCATGAATGAGGGAGCCCAGGGGCTGGAATTCGGATGGGCCGAGTTCTCCTCCGTCACGGATCCTGGAGAATCCCCTGGAATCTCCAAGATTCCCACCTTCCCTCTGGCCCGGGGGGTTTGTGGGACAGGGAAGGTGGGACCTGCCTTGGCATCCTGGGATCCCACCCTGGGCAGCTCCCTATGGAACGAATCCATCGTCAGGACTCCGTAACAACGCTTTCACCTGAATTAATTAATTCCCATTCCAGCCTGGGCTCTCCTCAGAATATCTGGGAGAGCAGAGGGTTGGAACCTCCCAGGACACTCGTCTTTTAATGAGGAATTAACTCCATTTCTGCCAGAATTCCTGGGGCAGCTCTAGCCTGGGAAGCTCGGGTTGGATTTCCGGGCATGAACCACTTCTTTAATCCTGGGAATCCCGCCCCGGCTCCCGGCAGGAGCTCCCAGGGACCACATTCCCACTCATTCCAATCCCTGGGAGGAGCTTTGGGGATCCCGGACAAACCAAGGCGTTGTTGCCAAGGAAACAGGAGAGGGAACAAAATCCACATTCCCTGGGGGATCAGGAGCTCCGGGGGGTGATTCCAGCTTGGAACTGCTCCAGAGGATCCGGGAATGGTTTGGGTGGAAGAGGAATTAAAGCCCATCCAGTGCTGTGGGCAGGGACACCTCCCACTGTCCCAGGGCACTCCAAGGTTATCCAGCCTGGCCTTGGACACTTCCAGGGATGGGGCATCCTCTGGGAATTCCATCCCAGCCCCTCCCCACCCTCCCGGGGAAGGATTCCTTCCCAATATCCCATCTAACCCCTGGCAGTGGGAAGCCATTCCCTGTGTCCTGTCCCTCCATCCCTTGTTTCCAGTCCCTCTCCAGCTCTCCTGGAGCCCCTTTAGGCCCTGGAAGGGGCTCCAAGGTGTCCCTGGATCCTTCTCTTCTCCAGGGGAACATTCCCAGCTCTCCCAGCCTGGCTCCAGAGCAGAAGGGCTCCAGAATCCTGGAATCCCAGGATGGTTTGGGTGGGAAGGGACCTTCAATCCCATCCATGGGCAGGGACACCTTCCACTATCCCAGGCTGCTCCAGCCCGGCCTTGGACACTTCCAGGGATGGGGCATCCTCTGGGAATTCCATCCCAGCCCCTCCCCACCCTCCCAGGGAAGGACTCCTTCCCAATATCCCATCCAACCCTCCAGCAGCGGGAAGCCATTCCCTGTGTCCTGTTGAACAAAACAGGAATTCTGCTTCCACGTCCCCTGTGCTGCAAAGGGCATTTCCCCTCCCCTCTCCCGAGGGAAGCCAGGCCTCGTTGTCCCCGAATTCCCGCCAGGAATGCCGGGGGCGGGGGGGCTGAGCTGGTTCTCCCGCCTTTCCCAGGATGTTCGACGTGGGCGGGCAGAGGTCGGAGCGGAAGAAGTGGATCCACTGCTTCGAGGGCGTCACGGCCATCATCTTCTGCGTGGCCCTCAGCGACTACGACCTGGTGCTGGCCGAGGACGAGGAGATGGTACGGGATTGTGGGAGCGTGGGATTGTGGGATTATGGGATTGTGGGATCATGGGAGCGTGGGATTGTGGGAGCGTGGGATTGTGGGAGCACAGGATCAGGGGAGTTGAGAGCACCTGGAATGGCCCGCGGCAACTGCTCCGGTGTGGGCCCCTTCCCATGGGTCAGTCCCTCAGGAACTGCTCCAACCTGGATCCCTTTCCATGGGATCAATCCAGGTTCCTTCCCATGGGATCAGTCCCTCAGGAACTGCTCCAGCTCCTTCCATGGGCTCAATCCAGGTCCCTTTCCATGGAGTCAGTCCCTTGGGAGCTGCTCCAAGTCTTTCCATGGTTCAGTCCTTCAGGAACTGCTCCAACCTGGATCCCTTTCCATGGGCTCAATCCAGGTCCCTTTCCATGGGGTCAGTCCCTCGGGAGCTGCTCCAACCTGGTTCCCTTTCCATGGGATCAGTCCCTCAGGAACTGCTCCAGCTCCTTCCATGGGCTCAATCCAGGTCCCTTTCCATGGGTCAGTCCCTCTGGAATTGCCCCACCGTGTCTCCCTTTCCCTGGGCTCCGCCTTGGCCGGTGGCAGATCCATCCTGGAGCCGCTGCCCTTGGCTCTGCTGGGCACGGAAAACCCTCTGGAGTTTCCCGCAGGAACCACCCCATGACCCCCCCCCGGATTGGGGCCAATTCCTCCCTGGATCCACCTGGGAGTGACAAACATTCCCGGGCCTGGGGGTGTCCCCACAGCCCCTTCCTTGGCCTGGGCTCCTTCCGGGGGGACCGGGGCTCCTGGGAAGGAGGTGACACTCCAGTGTCCCTTCCCTGATCCCTCCCGTGTCCGTCCCGCTCCAGAACCGGATGCACGAGAGCATGAAGCTCTTCGACAGCATCTGCAACAACAAGTGGTTCACGGACACCTCCATCATCCTCTTCCTCAACAAGAAGGATCTGTTCGAGGAGAAGATCCGCCGGAGCCCCCTCACCATCTGCTACCCCGAGTATCCAGGTACCGGCATCCCCCGGAGCCGGGATGGGCTCTCCCAGCCTTTCCCCCGGTTCCTTCCCTCCGGCTCCCGGAGTGCAGGAGGGTTCCCTTGGGAGAGCTTTGGGAGCAGCCTTTGTCCATCCCACAGATCCCAACCCCAAGGGTTGCCCTCCAGCAGATCGAGGTCGCTCCTCGTTTCCCACATCTTGCTAGGATGGGAATTCCATTGAAATTCCAGTTTAGAGCCCGGGAGACTGATCCGTGTCCTGCTCTGGGCCCTTCTGACCCAAACCATTCCATGATTGTCCCTCTTTTCCTTTAAGATCCTTCCAACCCAAACCATTCCATGACTGTCCCTCTTTTCCTTTAAGATCTTTCCAGTCCAAACCATTCCATGATTCCATGATTTAAAGTCCTTCCAAGTCCATTCCACCATTTGTCCCTCTTTTGCTTAATCCATGATTCCAAGCTTCTTCCCTCTTTTCCTTTAAGATCCTTCCCAGCCCAACCATTCCATGATTTTAAGGTCCCTTCCAACCCAAACCACGATTCCAAGGTTCTTCCGTCTTTTCCTTTAAGATCCTTCCAACCCAAACCATTCCATGATTGTCCCTCTTTTCCTTTAATCCACGATTGCATAATTTGTCCCTCTTTTCCCTTAAGATTCTTCCAACCCAAACCATTCCATGATTCCATGATTTGTCCTTCTTTTCCTTTAAGATCCTTCCCAACCCAAACCATTCCATGATTGTCCCTCTTTTCCTTTAAGATCTTTCCAGCCCAAACCATTCCATGATTCCATGATTTAAAGTCCTTCCAACCCAAACCATTCCAAGATTTGTCCCTCTTTTCCTTTAAGATCCTTCCAACCCAAACCATTCCATGATTCCATGATTTGTCCCTCTTTTCCTTTAAGATCCTTCCAACCCAAACCGTGATTCCAAGGTTCTTGTGTCTTTTCCTTTAAGATCCTCCCAACCCAAACCATTCCATGATTCCATGATTTTAAGGTCCCTTCCCACCCACCCCTCCATCCCACCCTTTATCCCCCCTTCCCTTTCAGCCCCTCCCCACCTCCCTCCCCGTTCCCTCGTCCCTCCCCACCCCCCCGGGCTCTGCCCGCCCCCTCCTCCCCTCGCCGTGCCCAAATCCCGGGATCTGCGCCCCGTTCCCAGGCTCCCAGACGTACGAGGAGGCGGCCGCCTACATCCAGAGCCAGTTCGAGGAGCTGAACCGGCGGCGGGACACGAAGGAGATCTACACCCACTTCACCTGCGCCACCGACACGCGCAACGTGCAGTTCGTGTTCGACGCCGTCACCGACGTCATCATCAAGAACAACCTCAAGGAGTGCGGCCTCTACTGAGGGACCCCCGGGAACGCCCCGGGAACGCCCCGGGAACGCGCCGGGAACGCGCCCGGAACGGCCGCGGGGCCGCGGGAACGCCGGGAGGCTCCGGCACAACAACCTTCCTTCCTGGGGACCTCGTGTTGGAGGGGACGTGGATTTGGGGAATGGGGGGTTTGGGAGTGGGGGTGGAGATCACGGAATGGGGGTGGAGCCTCCCGGCGTCGCTGGATGGAGAGACCTCCGTGGATTCCCGCGGGATTCCAGTGGGATTCCAAGCAGATTGCAGCCCAATTCCAGCCTGATTCCACTGAGATTCCAGCCCTTGGATTCCAGTGGGATTCCAGCCTGATTCCAGTGGGATTCCAGCAGGATTCCAGTGGGATACCAGCCTGATTCCAATGGGATTCCAGCCAGACTCCAGCCTGATTCCAGCCCTTGGATTCCAGCTGGATTCCAGCCCAATTCCAGCCTGATTCCAGTGGGATTCCAGCCTGATTCCAGCGGGATTCCAGTGGGATACCAGCCTGATTTCAGCCCCATTCCAGCCTGATTCCAGTGGGATTCCAGCGGTGGGATTCCAGCGGGATTCCAGTGGGATACCAGCCTGATTCCAGTGGGATTCCAACCAGCTTCCAGCCCTTGGATTCCAGCGGGATTCCAGTAAGATTCCAAGCAGATTGCAGCCTGATTCTGGCCAGATTCCTCGTAGATTCCAACCCTTGGATTCCAGCTGGATTCCAGCCTGATTCCAGTGGGATTCCAGCCTGATTCCAGTGGGATTCCAACCAGATTCCAACCCTTGGATTCCAACGAGATTCCAGCCCAATTCCAGCCTGATTCCAGCGGGATTCCAGTGGGATTCCAGCCTGATTCTAGTGGGATTCCAATCATCCCAACCATTCCCAAACAATCCAGCCCTTGGATTCCAGCTGGATTCCAGCCCAATTCCAAGCAGATTGCAGCCCAATTCCAGCCTCATTCCAGCTGAATTCCAGCCTCATTCCAGCCCTTGGCTCTGTAGCTCCCTCTTCCTTCGTTATTCCATTCCCAGCCCCCGTTATTCCATTTTTAAGGTTATTTTGGGTGTTTTTATTCCAGGCAGGAAACTGTCCCTTCCCTCCCCTTTGTTCCTCTCAGCCTCGGGTTCAAAATAATTAAAATAATAATAAAAAAAAAAGAGAATAATAAAAACCACACAACTCTCACTCAACTATGCACATGGAGATCCTGCGGGAAACGTCCCTCCCGGCAGGAATTCCAGGAGTTCCTGTTCCTGCAGCTCCTGAAGGATCCCGGGAGCTTTTCCCCGTGTGAGTCGTTCCCGTCCCGCCGCCCCGGCGTTGGGAAAGGCTCCCGGGGCAGGAGGAGGAGGGTTGGGCTCCGGGGGGAGGGTTTATTCCCGGTGTTATGCCCAGCTTGGCATTCCCGGCCGGAGCCGAGGGGGGAGCTGCGGATCCGAGCTCCCGAGCCGGGATTCCCGGGCGTTTTTGGGGATGGGGAGGGGGGATGATCCCGTCCTCCCTTTCCCAAGGCCCTCCCAGCCCCGGTTTTCCTGAGCCTGCCTTTCCTCTGTCCGGGTGGTGCCAAATCCCACATTTCCCCGCCCGCTCCGTGCGTTCCTCTGCTGATCCCCGTCTGCATCCAGCCCCTCTTCCCGGTTCTGTCCGTGTCCAGTCGGATCCGTTGGATTTGTTGGCAGTCATTAAAATGGTGAGTGAAGCCTTTGCTCCGGTTTCTTCTTCCTTTTTCCAGGAGCTCTCCCAGTTTTTGGTGCTTTGCCGGAGAAGGGAGGGAAGAGCTTGGGTGGGAATCGTTGGGATGGGGAGATTCCTTGTGCTCTTTGATGGGAATGAGGTGGAATTCTCGGCACAGGGAGGTTCCCCGTGCTCCATCCACCCCCACTGCTGGGGTCGTGCTGCTGCCAAAGACTTGGGCTGTGCTGCAGCATTCCAGGAATCCCGTTGTCCGTGGGATTCTTGGCAGGAGGATTTACCTGTCGACAGCCCAAATCTGGCTGCTGAGATCCCGGTGGGAATCCTGCCCTGGATGCTGCTGTGGGATGGAGGTGGCACCTTTCTGGGGACGCTTCCTTAGAATTCCAGGATAAATTCCTTGTGGGAGCTCTCAGCAGCTCCAGGGAGTGTTTCCCTCCTCTGGAATTTTTCCCAAGCTCCCTGGAGCTCTGCCTGCCCCCAAATTCCCTTTGGAATTTTTCCCAAGCTCCCTGGAGCTCTGCCTGCCCCCAAATTCCCTTTGGAATTTTTCCCAAGCTCCCTGGAGCTCTGCCTGCCCCCAGATTCCCTTCCTGGAGCCTTCCCTCCATGGGATAACTCCTCCTTCCTCATTCAACCCTTTCCAGGTGCTCCGACCAGGAATTTCTGGGGTTTGGGACCCCCTTCTCCCCACCATCCAGGAGCACAGCTCCCAACCCCAGGGTGATCCAGGTGGGATCCAGAGATCCAGGCGATCCAGAGAGCCGGGAATGGGTGCAAAGGATGGGAAGCAGCCCTGGATCCAAGCTCTGGGAAGCGGGGAAGGAAGGACACTCCGGCCATGCACATTCCTTTATTGTGTTTTCCTACCGAAGTGAAGCTGGAAGGGGAGATCTGTGCAGGGAAAGGAGGATCCAGGGATTTCCAGGGATCACCTACGGATTATTTACAAACAGAGAGAGCGAACGCGGCTCTAAAGTAGCAGAACGAAAATGTTTTGAGCAACCATTTCCTCTTTATCCAGCCCATTCCCATTCCCATTCCCGGGCTGGAATTGGGGTTCCCTCCCCCAGCCCTTCCTGCCCGAGGAATTCCCACCATTCAGGGCCCCAGAGAACCCCAGGAATCCCTGATTTCTCCTGCCAAAGGGTCGATTCCCGGGAAGGGCTGGGGTGGGTTCCCAGGAGCCACTCGGAGGTAACTCAGCTTCCTCCTCCCCCAGAAATTCCAGCTTGGATGAATCCAGCCCCGATCCAAGGGCAGGAATGGGCTGTGGAGGGATGGCCAGGGGAGAATTCCCGTCCCTGCCTCCCAAATTCCCTCAATATTCCTATTCCTGGCTGTGTCTTGGTGTCAAACCTCCCGTGGAATGCTGAGAACGGGGAGTTTTCCTCGGAAAAAAAACAAAACAAAAAAAAAAGAGGAAATGGCCACGAAAGGGAGCAGGACGTTGAGTTCAGCCCCTTCCTAGTTTGGGGTGAAAAGAGGCAGATTTGGGGCGGTCATAGAAAAAGTGGGAGCGGTGACGTGTGGAGGGGGTGGTTCTTCCTTTGGCTCTGCTCAGCAGAACGGAGAGATGGGAATGTTTCCTGGGAAAGGGAGAGAGAACAGGGAGTTAAACACCCCCAGGGCAGGGACACCTTGGCCTTCATCCCCGTGGGGATGAGGATGGGGAATCCCACATCCCACCCTTTGCCTTGGCCTTCATCCCTGGGATGATGAGGATGGCTGAATCCAAGGGGATGAGGTTCCACCACTCCACATTCCAGGTCCTGCCCTTTGGCCACAACAACCCCCTGGAGCTCCAGGGGTGGGGACAGGAAGGGACCTGGGGGTCGGATGTGAGTCCAGGGGGCCCTTCTTGGCATCCTGGCATTCCTGGATCGGGAATGATGTGGCAGCAGGACCAGGGCAGGGATTGGGCACTGGAGAGGGGCACCTGCAAGGCTGGGCCCGGGTCTGGACCCCCAGGACAAGAAGGACATGGAGGGGCTGGAGCATGTCCAGGGAAGGGAACAGAGCTGGGGAAGGGGCTGGAGCAGCAGGAGAACTCAGGGAGCTGGGGGGGCTCATCCTGGAGAAAAGGAGGCTCAGGGGGGACCTTCTGGCTCTGCAACCCCCTGACAGGAGGGGGGAGCCGGGGGGGGTCGGGCTCTGCTCCCAGGGAACAAGGGACAGGAGGAGAGGGAACGGCCTCAGGCTGTGCCAGGGGAGGGTCAGGTTGGACATCAGGAGGAATTTCTTCCTGGAAAGGGTGGTCAGACCTTGGAAGGGGCTGCCCAGGAAGGGGCTGCCCAGGGAGGTTTGGAGTCCCCACCCCTGGAGGTGTCCAGGGAAGGCCTGGACATGGCCCTCAGTGCTCTGGGCTGGGGGACAAGGGGGGGGACAGGTTCAGGGTGCACTCGGTGGTCTCAGAGGTCTTTTCCACCCTAAATAAGTCCGTGATCCTGTGGGATCCTGCTCATCCTCCTCCTCATCCCTCTCCTCTCTTCCTCAGCCCTTTTTTGGGATGATCCCCCTCATCCCCAGCCCTTTCCCTGGGATCGAGCTGGCTCTGCTCATCCTCATCCTCTTCCCCAATCCCTTTATGGGCTCGAGCCTCCTCTGCTCATCGCCCTCCCCTTCCCTCCCTTTTCCTGGGGTTCCTTGCATTCCTGGCATCCCCATTCCCAGTTTTCCGGCCCCACTCCCCCTGTACCTTCCCGGGCTCAGAAGAGGCCGCAGTCCTTGAGGTTCTCTTTGATGATCACGTCCGTGACGGCGTCGAAGACGAACTTGACGTTCTGGGTGTCTGTGGCACAGGTCATGTGGCTGTAGATCTCCTTCACGTCCTTCCTCATGTTCAGGTCCAGGAACTGGGTCTTGATGTAATTCCCGGCGTCCTCGAACGTGTTGGGGCCTGTGCAGGGAGGGAGGGAACATTCTGGAGCCACTCCCGTGGGGAGGAGCTCTGGAGAAGGGCTGGGGGTGACCACGCCCGGGGAAAACTTGACAAACGTGGATTTATCCGGTGTCCAGCCTTCCAAACACCCTCCCGAGGGCACAGCGCTCCCCTCCTCTGCTCCAGCCTCCAGGGAGGGGGATGGAGATGGTTCTGCTCATCCTCATCCTCCCCCTCATCCTCCTCCCCTTCCTCAGCCCTTCTCAGGATGGAATCAACTCTGATCGTCCGATCCCTTCCCCAGCCCTAATTTTTGGGATGGAACTGACTCTGCTTATTCCCCTCCCCTTCCCCATCCCACCCCACCCCATCCCATCCCACCCCCTCCCCTCCAGGCCCACGTGACCCCCCCTCCCCTGCTCCGGGGGGTCTCCAGGGGGGTGGGAATGCCGGGATTGCTCCGGACTCACCGTCGTACTCCGGGAAGCAGATGCTGAGATGGACCTTCTTGATCTTCTCCTCGAAAAGGTCCTTCTTGTTGAGGAAGAGGATGATGGAGGTGGCTGCGAAGAACTTGTGGTTGCATATACTGTTGAAGAGGTGCAGGGACTCGTGCATCCGGTTCTGCAGGGAATTGTCAGGGATTCACACCCCCTCCGAGCCCCCCATTCCCAAAAAAACCAGCCTTTCCCTGTTTCCCGCGGCAGTGGGTGGTGCTGCTGCCATCCCAGTCCCTCCCGCCCACCCGAAATCCCAGTTGGATCCTCAGGGGAGGACAATGCCCTGATCCCCCCTGGGATCGTCAGAAAGGAGGGATGGTGGTGGGAATGTGATCCATGGAAACCTCATGGCCTGCAGGGAAAGGGCTCATTCCCTTCAGCCCCGTTCCCCTCATCCAAGGGATGCTCCTGCTGGGCTGTGGCTCCCAGGGCTTCGGGAAGGAGCTGGGAAAAGGAAAAGCTCCAGTCTGGGTGTGGGTGTGACAATCCCGGGGCATCCCACGGGGATGGGGATCCAGCCGGGCAGAGCCAAGTCCGACCAGGGGCTTTTCCTGCTGGAAAGGGGGATCCTCCACCCTCGGGGGTTCTCCAGGGCTTACAGGGATGGTTTTCCCTCCTCCAGCTCCCCAGGGCAGCAGCTTTTCCATGCACAGAGCCCAGACCCTGCCCCGTCCTCCTTGGGAATGCTCCCAGGGCTCCCGTGGGAAGGATCCTCCCTCCTCCTGTGCGTGGCTGAGCTCCCACTCGGCCGTGGAGATGCCCCAGGACGGCAGATCCCGACCCTGCCCCAGCTCCCGGAGGTGTTTGGATCCCAGGGAATGCCCAGGGAAGCCGGAGGAGCTGGAGCAGCTCCCGCTCTCCTCATCTGCACCCCTGGGCTCCCATTTCTCCCCAGGAATGCCCCGTTCCAGGGGTTCCACATTCCTGCTCTCCAGATCTCTGCCCTTTGCCGGGGCTCTGCCGGTGAATCCCGGGCGGACACCCTTGGATAATGTCCCTGTGCCACCATTCCCAGCGCTGCCCCTTGTCCCCTCTCTGCTCCCCTGGGGGGCACAGGGAGGCCCCTCCAGGCTGGATTTTCCTCCATCCCACCCATTCCTGACTCTTCCTGCCCTTCCCTGTTCTGGTGTTTTGGTTCTCTGACGGCTCTTGGGAGCAGGGAACACCAGGAGCCGCTCGGGAGCTTCCCGGGGGGTTTCCTCATGGACAAACCCTGGGATCTGGGATCCAGAGGAAGCCCCAACACCTGCCCTGGGAACAACCCGGCAGGAACCGGCACTTCCCGCACTTCCTGCACTTCCCAGCCTTCCGTGGGAGAGGGGGCAGGGAGCGGGTCAGGGAGGGGATCAAAGAGTGGGATCGTGGAGGGGAGTTGTGGAAAGAGAGGAGGGGGGTCATGGAGGGGGATCAATGGGGGGGATCAATGAGGGGGATCAATGGCAGGGATCAGGGAGGGGCGTTGTGGAGGGGGATCAGGGAGGGGGATCAGGGTGGGGGATCAATGAGGGGATCAATGAAGGGATCAATGGGAGGAGGATCAATGGGAGGGATCAGGGAGGGGGATCAATGAAGCAAATCAAGTGGGTGGATCACAGAGGGGGGTTGTGGAGGGGGATCAGGGAGGGGGATCAATGATGGGCTCACAAGGGGGGTTGTGGAAGGGGGCTGACGATCCCACGGGACAGGGGGCTGTTCCCACCCCTCGGAGCCCCCTCAGAGCCCCCCCATCCTGCCCCCCAGGGCACCCCCACCCACCACTTCGTCGTCCTCCACCAGCACCATGTCGTAGGCGCTCAGGGCCCCGCAGAAGATGATGCAGGTGACGCCCTCGAAGCAGTGGATCCACTTCTTGCGCTCCGAGCGCTGCCCCCCCACGTCGAACATCCTGGGGGGGACACGGGGGTGTCACACAGGGGGGTGTCACACAGGGGGGTGTCACACAGGGGGGTGTCACACACGGGGGTGTCACACAGGGGGGTGTCACACAGGGGGGTGTCACACACGGGGGTGTCACACAGGGGGGTGTCACACACCCCCCACCCACCCCAGCGTGGTCCCAGGGCCTCGAAATGTGGGATGGGGGGGGCGGGGCCTGGGCTCCCCAAAATCCAGTCCTGAGGGTGGGGAAACGTGGGGGGGCAGGGAGGGGATGGTGGGGGGGTCCTGGAGGGGGATCACAGAGGGGGATCCCACGGTGGGGTCTGGGGGTGTTCATGGGGGGGGAACACGGAAGAGGGATCAGGGATGATCAGGATGGGGGGGATGACTGAGGGTGTCCTGGAGGGAGGTCCTGGAGGGGCAGGGCCTTCTCCCCCCACCTGAAGTTGAGGTCCTTGACGGAGAACTTGGTCTCGATGATGCCCGTGGTCTTGACCCGGGAGCGCAGCACGTCCTGCTCGTTGGGGAGGTAGTTGGGGGCTGTGATCCTGTCCAGCTGGTTCAGGTAACTGTGGGCACGGGGGGGGCTGTGACCTGGCACCAAGGGGCTGCCCCCGGATCCCCAGCCCCCCGGCTCCCATGATCCCCCGTCCCCCCTGTCCCCCATGCCCCCTGTGACCCCTGTGACCCCTGTGCCCCCCGTGACCCCTGTCCCCTGTCCCCTCCATGTCCCCTGTCCCCCCGTGCCCCCCGTGCCCACTCACTACGCGGCCGAGTCGTTGAGCTGGTACTCGGCGGCGCGGTCGAAGCAGGCCTGGACCCCCCCGTCCTTCCAGAGCTTCTTGATGCAGGACACGAGCTCGGGGGGCATCGTGCCCTCCTCGATGGAGTCGGCCAGGTTGAACAGGATCCGACCCTCGTCCTGGGGGGGACCGTCATCACCCTCCCACCCCCGGGATCCCCCCGGAGCACCCTCAGCCCCCCCGGAGCACACCCGGCCCCCCTCGTCACCCTCCCACCCACAGACAGCCCACAGAGCACCCTCAGCCCCCCTCACCACCCCCCCACCCACGGGATTCCCCCCCCAAAGCACCCTCAGCCCCCTCAAAGTGCCCTCAGCCCCCTGAAAGCACCCTTAGCCCATGGGGTGCCCCCTGAAAGCACCCTTAACCCCCCAAAGCACCCTCAGGCCCTCAAAGCACCTTCAGCGCCCCCAAATCAACCTCAGCCCCCCAAGAGCCCTCAGCCCCTCCAGAGTATCCTGAGCCCCCCCTGTCACCCCACCCACCCACGGGATGCCCCCCGGAGCCCCCTCACCCCCCCAAAGCACCCTGAGGCCGGGGGGCAGCCCTGCCCCTGCCCCCGGGGGGGCTCGGAGGGTCCCGGGGGGTCCCTGGGGGGCCCTGGGGGGCTCGGGGGGCACTGACCGCGCAGGAGGACTCGGCGTAGTCGATGCCCAGCGTGGACATGGCGCGCACGATGGCCAGGATGGACTGCAGGATGTTGCCGTAGATGATGGCCTTGAACTCCATGCACTCCTCCTCCGTGTACCCGTCCTGGTGGATGATCCTGGGGGGCACCGCGGCCTCAGCACCCCCCCGGGGGGCTCCCCCTGCCCTGCAGGGCACCCCCTGCCCTCCCCGCACCGAGAGTCACTGGGTGCCACCGGGGGGGTGGGTGATGGGGGTCCTGCCCGTGGGCGGGGGGGGGTCCCCTCTCCCCATCCCACACTCACTTCATCTGCTTCACGATGGTGCTCTTCCCGGACTCTCCGGCCCCTGGAAAAGGGTGGGAACGGGCACCTCAGCGGGGCCGCGATGGGCGCCCCGAGGGGACCAGAGCCACTGTCCCCCCCGCCCCGACTCCTGCCATTGTCCCCGCGCTCCTGTCCCCCCTCCTGCACTGTGGGACCGCGGCGGGGGGCGGTGGGGACCCCCCTGGAGGGGGTCCCTGGGGTCCCACCCGTCCCACCCACCCCCGGGCAGCGCCGGCGGGGCCTCGTAAGCGGCTTAGGGTGGCCCAGGAAGCCGCTTAGAATTAGGGTGGTAATCGCCTTGACCCCCGGCCCCCCCACCTGGATAAGGCCCCGCCGCCGCCCCTGACACGGGGGGTCACCCCCCTGGCCTGTGGGCTCACCCCTGTACCCCAGGGGGTCACCCCCTTGCCCTGCAGGGTCACTGCTCTGCCCCTTGGGGTCACCCCCTGTCCTGTGGGGTCACCCCCATATGCTGGGGGGGACGCTGGGGGGGGTCACCCCTCTGCCCCACGGGGTCACCCCCTGCCCCTTGGGGTGCAGAGGGACCCCCAGGGGACCCCCCAGGGTTTGGGGGTCCTGGTGGCAGGATGTCCCCAGGCTCTCTCTGACCCCCGGGATGTGCCACAGCCCCGCTGTCCCCATCCCCTCCCTGTCCCCTCCCTCCGTCCCTGCCACCCCAAGAGCCGATGGCACCTCCAGCTCTTCCCAGGGACGGCCTTGGGGACACACAGGGGTGGGACAACCTCTCCTGGCCGGTGGCAGCTCCGAGGGGGAACAGGAGCAGCCCAGGGGGTCCCAACCCCCATCCCTCCAAGCCTCCTTGGGGTGGGGACATCGGGACAACCCTTGGGGACATCGGAACAACTCTTGGGGACACCCAGGGGTGGGACAAGCTCTGCTGGCTGGTGGAGAGGGGGATCAGGGATGGGGCAGGAGGAGTCCCAATCCCCATCCTCACATCCCCCAACCTCTAACCGGGTGGGGACATCGGGACAACTCTCGGGGACATCCCCCCAGGCTCCGGGGGGTGGGGACATCGGGACAACCCCAAGGACACCCGGTTGGTGGGACAACCTCTCCTGGCTGGTGGCAGCTCCGAGGGGGAACAGGAGGAGCCCAGGGGGTCCCAATCCCACCAGTGGTGTGGGGACATTGGGACAACCCTCGGGGACATCGAGACAACCCTTGAGGACACCCCAACCTCCACCAGGGTGGGGACATCAGGACACCCCTCGGGGACACCCTCAGCCCTCACCAAGCAGCAGCAACTTGACAGTCTTGGCCTCCTTATCCGCGTCCTCCTGGAGCTTCTTCTCCAGCTCCTTGGACCTCTTGGCCATCTCCTTGTCCTCGGCGCTGGCCCCGCTCCCCATGGCTTCGTCCTCCTCCTCCAGCAACGCCACAAGCTCCTCTACGTCCCCCGGCTTTTCCAGCTCTCCGGGGGGGAGTCAACGCGCACCCCGGGGGCGAGGTGGGCGCTGGGGGGTCAAACCGAGAAACCAGGGAGCCCAAAGGAGGCCCCGAGCGTGGATTTTGGGGTGCCCCAGGCAGAGCCGCTCGGTGGGTGCTCCTGCTCGGCTGCCCCCCGCTCTGGCCCTTAATTCCCCATGGATAACCTGATTTTTTTTGACAGTGGGATTTGGGGACTTTTTATCTCGCCATGTGACCCAGGAAATCCAATTAGCCCAAGATGGCAAAGATTAGGGCTCGGGGGTGGGACACAGGGAGCATCGCGGGGAGGTGGCTTTACATAAGGGGGGGTGGCAGGTGACACCCCCCGGCCGTGGGGATGTGGCCCCCCAGTGTCCCGGGGGGTGACTCGGGCAGGGGGGGCCGTTCTGGGGCTGCGACCCCGGGTTTGGGGGGCGCTGGGTGTGTCCCCCACCCCGGGGCGCTGCCGGTGACAGGGCAGTGGCAGGGGCGGGGTGGTGACAGAGGGACAGGGGGTGGTGGCAGGGGGGTGGTGGCACTGGGGGATTCCTCCCGCAGGGAAAAGGGAGCTAATTACGGGGGGGGGGGGAGGATAACGAGCCCCCCTAATCCCGCCCCGCCCGGGGCCGCCCCTCGCCCTCCCGCTGACTTAAGCTCTTTAATGGGATCGCAAAGGGATTGTTCAAGACCACATTATCATCACTCGCTGCCATAGCCTCACAAAATAACCAGTCCAAAAACAATAACAAATCTGTTCCCTCTTCCTCAGCCTCCAATTTCCCCCCGAAACAACCCAATCCCCAGCCCGGTAGGACCGCGGGGCCCCCCCAAAGCCCGGGGCTGGGTGGGTGGTCCCCCCCTTTCCTCTTGTGGGGTTGGGTTTGGGTGGGCGCTGCAGAGGGGACCCCCCGCCCTGGGGGTTGGGTTGGGGCCCCCAAAGGTCCCGCAGGTCCCCCGTGGGGTGTGGGGACCCCTCCAAGGGTCCTGCAGGTCCCCAAGGAGATGTGGGGTCCCACAAAAGTCCTGCAGGTCCCCGGTGGGGTTTGGGGTCCACCCAAATGTCCTGCAGATCCCCAATGGGGTTTGGGGTCCCCTAAATGTCCTGCAGGTCCCCAGTGAGGGTTGGGGCCCCCAAATGTCCTACAAGCCCCGGGGTGGGGTTTGGGGTCCCCCAAAGGTCCTGCAGGTGGATTTAAGGTCCCCTAAAGCCCCGCAGCCCCGAGGGGCCGGGGGGGGGGGGTGTCCGTGTCCCCGCCCTGGTGTCCCCATGTCGCACCTGGCGCGTGGCCCTGCCTTGGGGACACTCTGTCCCCGCTGTCCCCGCTGTCCCCGCGCACACAAAGCCCCTTCCGAGCCTCTAATGAACCCGGCGTTAATGAGGGGGGTCCAATTAAAATACCAGACCCCCCCCGGGCAGCGCCGGGCAGGGGAGCGCAGCCGGGGGTCCCCAGTGTGCGGTGCCCTCCCCGCCTGGCACGGCGCTGGCCCCTCGCTGTCCCCTCGCCGAGGAGTGGGGGGCACCGGGCGGGGGGGGGAGTGTGACATTCCCGGCGGCCAAAAATCCCCCCCCGCGCCGGGGCGGCTCCGGGGACGCGCGGACGGGACACGGCCCGACACCCACCCGGAGCCACCGCGACCCCCGCCCAGGTAGGGACCCGCGGGGAGGGGGTGACACACAAAGGGACCCCCCCCGGCACCCCCAAACCGGGCTCTGCTCCTGGAGGGGTGAGCTGGGGTGCTCATGGTGGAGGAGGCGATGCCCCTTTTTGGGGGTACCCGGGAGTTTTGGGGGGTTCTTGGTGGTTTGGGGGCACTCAGTGGTTTTGGTGGTACTAGTTCTGGGGTGTATTCGGTGGTTTTGGGGGGCACTTGGTGGTTGTGGGGTACACGGTGTTTGGGGGGAACTCGGTGTTTTGGGGTTACCCGGTGTTTTTGGGGGATATTCGGTGTTTTGGGGGTACTGGGTGGTTTTTGGGGGTTCTCTGTTTATGGGCAGTACTCGGTGGGTTTGGGGTTCTGGGTGTTTGGGGGGAACTCGGTGTTTTGGGGTTACCCGGTGTTTTTTGGGGGTGCTCAGTGTTTTGGGGGTTACCCGGTGGTTTTTTGGGGTTACCCAGTGGTTTTTTGGGTGCTCGCTGGTTTTTGGGGGTCCTCTGCTCCCGGGGAGCACTCGCCGTGACGGTGCCTGGCCGGGGGGGCAGTGCCCGTACGGGGGGGGCACAATGCTCCCCTCGGGGATCTCGGGGGGGGTTACCCTGTCATTGGAGGGGTCACTGTCATTTTGGGGGGGTCCGATATGTCCATATGGGGGAGGGCATTGCCTGACTGGGGGGAGGGACACGGCTGTACAGGGGGGGCCACAACTGTCCCCGGGGGGGGGGGGGGGTGGTGTAACAGGGCTGTCTGGGGGGGTCACGGCTGTTTCGGGGGTTCACGTCTGTCCCTATGGGGGTACACGACTGTTCTCCGGGGGGGGTAACAACTGTCCCTCGGGGGGGTCACGGCTGTCCCACAGGGATGTGGGACATCCACAGGGATGTGGGACATCCACGGCTGTCTGGGGGGGTCACAACTGTCCCCATGAGGGCACACGATTGTCCCCGGGGGGGTCACAACTGTCCCCCGGGGGGGTCACGGCTGTCTGGGGAGGTCACAACTGGCCCCATGGAAGTACAAGACTGTCCCCCCGGGAGGGGGGGGGTGTCAAAATTGTCCCCATGGGGGTGTCACGGCTGTCTGGGGGTGTCACGTCTGTCCGGGGAGGTCACGTCTGATCCCCTGAGGGCACACGCCTGTCCCCCGGGGGGGGGGGTCGCGCTGTCCGGGGGGGCTCAGCCCCTCACCCCGATATCTCACAGCCCCGTCCGGCTCTCGTCCCCCCCCTCGCAGCTCCGCAGCCGCAGCCACCTCCTTCCTCCTCCTCCTCCTCCCGCCCATCCTCCTCCCGCCCCATCCTCTTCCTCGCGCGGGTTTCCGGCCGGGCCCCGCCGGGGACTTTGCTCCATCCCCGCTCCCCCATCAATCATCAACCAGCGCCGGCCGCGGCCGCCGGACCCCCCGCGCCCCCTCCATCCCCCCAGCATCATCCTCATCCTCACCCTCATCCCCCTCCCCCCCGGCCCGCCATGTCCTCCGCCCCCCCGGCCAAGTGTCCCTTCAAGAAGCGGGGCAGCCTCCAGACCCCCCTCCCCGCAGGTGAGACCCCCCCAGATCACCCCCCAACCTTCCCCCCGACCCCCCGAACCCCCTGACCCCCCCGGTGAGGCCGCGGCGGGGGGGACACGGCGCTGCCGGGGGGTTTTTGGGGGGTGGGGGGCAGGTTTTTTTGGGGGGGAAGGAGCGGGGTTGGTGATTTTTTTTGGGGGGGGAGGGGTCCCTCGCCGCGCGGTCTGGTGGGTTTGGGGGGGTGGCAGCGGCGTTGGGGGGTCCCCGTGTGCCCCCCCCGGCAGCGCCGCTGTGGCGCAGTGAGAGGGGAGGGGGAGGAGGAGGAGGAGGAAGGGGGGGACCCGAAGGGGGGCGGGGGGATGGGCTGGGGGGGGAGGCTTCAGGGGCACCCCCGAGGTGGGCTCGGGGGGGGTGATGGCGCTTTGGGGGGGCTCGGGGGGTCACCGCGGGCACCGAGGGTGGCACCCGCGGGCCCGGGTACGTGGCACGGGAGGGGGGGAGGTGGCACTTCGGGGGGTCTTGGGGTCCCGGCGGGGATGACCCGGGGGGGTGGCACGGGGGGTGAGGGGGCCCCGGGGGTTGTTACTCAGCTGTCACCGGTGCCGGGGGGGCTCAGGGGTGACCCACACGTGTCCCGGGGGGTGGCACGGGTGGCACTGCGGGGTTGTCACCGAGCTGGCACTGCGGCGGGGGGGGGTCTCAGGTGCCGCCAGGGCCGTCCCCAGCCACATGCCACCCCGCACGTGGGTGGCACGGGGCGTGCCTGGTGGCACGGGGCACCCCGGCTGTCACCTGCGCCCCAGGTGACACCGGGGCCACCCCTGCCCGGGGGGGAGGGACAGCAGTGCCATCCCCGGGTGGCACAAGCCCCGCACTGGGGGGCACCGGGGGGAGTCTCCCCAGCCCCCCCTCCCGTGGGGGTGATGCCAGGACCCAAACGGGGGGGGGCTCCTTCGGGGGATCCCCCCAGGCTGTTCTGGGGGGGAACTTATTGGTGGCCCCAGTTTAACCAGTAGGGCCTGATTTCCAGTGCCCACCGGGAGGGGTCTGGGGTGGGTTTGAGGGGTGCACAGGGGGGTGTTGGCACACGGGGGGTGGTCCCTGGGCACCCCCCAGCCCGGTGGGAGCAGGGGGTGCTGGGGGGGGGTAGGAGTGCCCAAAGCAGTTTGGGGGTGCCCCCCCATAGTGGGAAGGGTGGGGAAGGTGAAGGGGGGGAGGGGGGCAATGGGAGTACCCCAGGGTAGTGCCCCCCCCTCCCGGGGGGCTCCTGCCCCCCATCCCAAGCCCCTCCCTCACTGCTGCTCCTTCCCACCCCGCAGGGCTCCAGCAGCCCCCCAGTGCCCGGGGAGGGGGGGGCAGAGTGGGGGTCCCTCCTGCCCTGGAGCTCCATTTCCCCCGGGGGGGTCTCGGGGGATCCCTCCTGCCCTGGAGCTCCGTTTCCCCTTCCCCCCCTTGGGAAGCACATCCCGGTTCCGTGCCGGGGGGGAGGGGCCAAGGAGCCCCCCCAGCCCGGGGGGGGGTCCTTCCCCCCCGGCTGAGCCCCCCCTCTCTGCAGAGCTGCGGGGGGGGTCGGCGGCGCGGCCCCTGCAGTCGGCCCGGTCCCTGCCCGGGACCCCCCACCTCCTGAAGCACTTCCCGGTGGATCTGAGGACTTCCATGGACGGCAAATACAAGGAGATCGCCGAGGTGGGTCCTGGCGCTGCCCCCCACGGCACGGGGGGGTCTCCCCTCCGTCCTCCCCCCTCCCACCCTCCCCCCACACCTCCCCCACCCTTCCTGCCTCCCCCTTTCCAGGGAACCTTCCCAGCCCGGCTCCGGGCGCTCAGACCGGGCAGGCACAGCTCATGGCAGGGACGGGCCTGGCAGGGCTGAGACCGGGCACAGCTCGTGGCAGGGCTGAGACCGGGCACAGCTCGTGGCAGGGCTGAGACCGGGCACAGCTCGTGGCAGGGCTGAGACCGGGCACAGCTCGTGGCAGGGATGGATGGGCCTGGCAGGGCTGAGACCGGGCACAGCTCGTGGCAGGGATGGATGGGCCTGGCAGGGCTGAGACTGGGCACAGCTCGTGGCAGGGACGGGCCTGGCAGGGCTGAGACTGGGCACAGCTCGTGGCAGGGACGGGCCTGGCACAGCTCATGGCAGGGGTGTCCCCAGGAGCTGTGCTGGCACTGGCACAGCTCGTGGCAGGGATGGCAGTGACAGCTGGTGACAGGGCTGTCCCCTGGAGCCGTGCTGGCCTTGGCAGGGCTGTCTCTGTCCCCCTTGGTGACAGGGCTGTCCCCAGGAGCTGTTCTGGCCCTGGCAGTGCCCGTAGTCGGGCTGTCCGAGCCCCTTGGTGACACTGGTGTCCCCAAGAGCTCTTCTGGCCCTGGTAGGGCTGTCCCTGTCCCCCTGGTGACAGTGCTGTCCCCGGGAGCTGTGGTGCCCTGTCCCTGTCCCCGCGGTGACAGTGCTGTCCCCGGGAGCTGTGGTGGCCCTGTCCCTGTCCCCGCGGTGACAGTGCTGTCCCCAGGAGCTGTGGTGGCCCTGGTGTCCCTGTCCCTGTCCCCGCGGTGACAGTGCTGTCCCCAGGAGCTGTGGTGGCCCTGTTGTGTCCCCGCGGTGACAGTGCTGTCCCCAGGAGCTGTTCTGCCGCTCGCTGGCAGAGAACGAGATGCGGACGGCGCCGTACGAGTTCCCCGAGGAGAGCCCGATCGAGCAGCTGGAGGAGCGGCGGCAGCGCCTGGAGCGCCAGATCAGCCAGGACGTCAAGTGAGCGGGGGGGGGTCCGGCCCGGGGGCTGGGGGTGATGTCCCCGAGGGGTGGGTGCTCCGCGCTGTGTCCCCTCCCCGTGGGTGTGTCGCTGGTGTCCCCTCCCTCCCCGTGAGCTCCTGGCCCGGTTCCGTGTGTGCTCTCGGGGGGGTTGTGGCATTAACGGGGTGTTTTCTCTCCCCGGCCCCCCCCCCGTCTCTGTGTCCCCCCTCCCCTCCCCCGCCAGACTTGAGCCCGACATTTTGCTCAGAGCCAAACAGGACTTCCTGAAAATTGACAGTGCCGCCGACCTACAGTGAGTGTGCGGCCCGGGGACACCCCGGGGACACCCCGGGGACACCCCGGGGACATGGGGGGCTCTGGGGACCCCCCGGCCCCGCCCCTGCCCCGCCCCCCTGCCCAGAGCCCAGGGGTCCGTGTCCCCCCCCCCTTGCTGGCACCGAGGGACCCCCCACCCCGGGGAGGGTTCAGGGGGAGCTGGGGCAGCCCCGGCCCCCCGCGCTGGCCTGTCCCCCCCCCCGGGTCCAGCTGTGTGTCCCCTCCCTCCTGTCTCCGCTTTGGGGTCGCGTCTGTCACGAGTTGGTTCGTCCTCTGTCCCTCTGTCCCCCCCCCACTGCTCGTTGTGCTTGGCGGGGCTGGGGGGGGCATGGGGGGGGACAGATGTGCCCACTGGACATGGGGGACACAGGGCGGGGACAGATGTGGCACTGGACATGAGGACATGGGAAGGGGACACGTGTCACTGGACACTGGGATACTGGGATGGGGACAGATGTGACACTAGACATGGGGACATCAGGATGGGGACACACGTGTCACTGGACACCAGGACACCAGGATGGGGACACACGTGTCACTGGACACCAGGACACCAGGATGGGGACACATGTGTGACTGGACATGTGGCCATGGGATGGGGACATGTGTGGCAC